ATAAACGGCGGGATCGATTGACCTTCTGCATTAATCGCCTCGATCGCAGTAATCCATTCACGATTTCCAGGCTGGACTTTCTTTGGCATCCCTTGCCTTTCTGAGCTTGTAACGACCATTCCGGGCTCAATCATACCCATCATAAAGCCGGTCTCATCAAAATTCCACATATCATCTAATTGGATACCGTATTTCGCGACTGTATTCTCTACGAGGCGAAACCAGTCACGAATAATAGTAGGATCTTCGCATTTAGCTCTCTGATAGTTATATCTCCGAAATCGACGTGTCTTGAGCTCTGGTTGCCGTTGGATAAAGTTATGAACCCAGCGTATGCCAACGGGTGATACATCGCGGTCGGCAAGTAGAGAATTAGCCATTTTTTCCACAAAATCGCGGCGCGGGGGAAATCCTCGCGAATCTAGGTCAAGGACGAATTGAACTATTATCTGCTCCTCAAGATCAGATAGATTCCGTGATTTAGTGGTGATATCATGCTTTGATTGAATTCCCTGCCGGCGGCGATTTAAGGTACGGTAATTGACTTGATATATACTTGCGGCCTTCCGGCCACTTAATTTTGGGTCATTTTGGAGAGCCTGGAGGGCAAGAAGGATCCTAGCCTCATATAAAGACTCTGACATGTTGGGTGGTTGAGAATTATCTGATCAAATAGTGATAATATAAGGTGAGGGATTTTTGGGACACTCGCTTATCTGGGACACTCGCTTATCAAACACGTTACTAAGTTAGTTATATATTTATTACTTTAAGTATAAATACCCTTATATATAGCTTACTTTAGAATAAGGATTTATCTTAATATAAAAGAAATACTTATAATACCTTTTATATATATATAAATATCCTATTAACTAGTTAAGCCTTAAAAGCCCTTATTTAATTTTCTTTCTACTTGCCACTTAGTTATAGTTAAGTACTTTTTATTTTCTTATAATAGCTTATATTACTAAATAGCTAAATAGGCTATTTTACCTTAAGTATTTTTAGAATTATTTCTATTAAAATAATATTATAAGCCTATTTATAAGAGTTAATTTATAAAATTATATTTATTAATATTTTATATATAAGATTAACGTGGTTAATAAGTGAGTAGGTTATCCAAGTAAGTAGGTCAAAAATCCCTCACCTTACAACATTTCTATTTAATCAGATAATTATTAATAACTTAATATATCATAGTCTTTAAATAAAGCTAGAATACTTCTTGCCCTTTAGGCCCTTTAAAATAACCTAAAACTAAGTCTATGATAGGCTGCGACTAACTATAAGGTGCCTTTTAAGACCTTATATCGCTGCCATTATGGCATTTAGTTATAATATAATTCTATCCTAAAATCGCAAAGACTATCTAATCTAGAGGAGCAGATAATAGTCTAATTTATCCTTAACCTAGATTTATAAGGATTTCCCTTGTAATTATATTTTATAAAAGAAATAGCTAATTCTCTGCTTACTAACTATAATATATTACCTGTTAGTAAGTATTAGGCTTATAACTTTATAAAGTAATAACTAGAGCTAAGGATATATTTATTTTAGAGATATAACTATTAGAGAGCTAAATATAAAGATCTAACTATTATTTGCAGCTAGTTTTAGCTTATATAGAATATAATTGCAAAGTATAATATCTAATTAGATAATATCTAGAACTTTAATAAGACTGGCTTTATAATAGGCCTTATTATGGCTAGAATAGCTATTATAGGTTTAGAAATATAAGAAAGGCCAAAATTAGTATAGCCTAGAAACCAGGAATAAATTACTATAATCTAGGCAATTAATATAAAAGGTTAATTAATTATGCCATTTATTATTAGTATAGGCTAATATTACCTTGCTAATTAATACTAAGAATATAACCTCCTAGGCAATTAGGTTATTATAATAAGCTAAAATAGGTAGATAAATAATAAGCTAGGTCTTAAGTAGCTAAAGTATTTTAATAAATCTATAACTAAATAATTAATTAGTCTTTATTATCTCTTAATCCTTAATAGTTATAAAAGCCACTACTTAGCTAATTTTAAGAGATATTACTAGGATTATAAAATTATTATGCTTTATATACCTGCTTATATATCTTATTTACTTTAGCCTCTTAATATTAGGTGCTTTATAGTACTAAAAAAGGCTTATAATTAAGAAATAAAGCATCTAATTAAATGCTTTATAACTTATATTTCTAAGACTAAGTTCTTTTCTGCCTTTTATATTATATTTAAAGCTACTTTTATAGAAAGTAATATCTAGGGGGGTTTTAAAGGAGTTAGGCTTACTCCTCTTAACCTAGAAACTATAATCTTAAAGCTTAATATATAGCTATAGACCTTAATACCTCCTAAGGAGGCTACTTAACTATTAATACTATAGGCTTTAAAGACCCTAAAGATAATTATTAAGGCCTAATCTTAATCTAAATACCTTAAAAGGTAAATCAAAAGGCATTATAATAGCTCCCTAGAGTCTATTATTAAAGCTTTAAAGTTAACTACTAAGGCAATAAAGGTAATTATATATAAGATTACCTTATTAAGGGCTAAGCTTTATAATCTTTAAGATATAAATAAGATACTAAGCCGGCGCTATAAGGCAAAAAAGACTAAACTACAGAAAGGAGAGACTATAATTATATAAGAAGTATTATAAGTAATTAATTAGATAGATATTAATATGCAGGTAGTAGCCAAATTATTAAGAAGTAGTAATTAAGGAAGGTTAAAGCGACTAGGTAGTTAGCGCTATAGTATATGCAGTAAGGGCAGTTATAATACTAGGACTTATTAGGTAGTTCTTAAGTTATCTAAGGAGGAATTTAGTAAGTAAAAGCTAGCCTTTTTAAACTATAGCTTAAGCTTTTAAGCTATAGGTTAAAAAGGTTAAGGAAAGTAACCTACTTACTTAGATAACCTACTCACTTATTAACCACGTTATAAGATTGTCTAAATTTAATAAATCCTTACTTAATACTATTAATAACTAAGTTAAATTAATAATATCTTATAAATAGCCTTTTATAGTATTAACTCTTTAATAAGATTTAAATTAAGTTTATACCTAATTATAAAAGAAATAAAATAAAAGTAATTACTTTTATCTTTTAAAAAAGCTATATTATGCCTTTTTATTTTCTATTAACTTTAACTTCTTAAAATCTCTATTAATATTGCTTTTTAAAAACTATTTTCTAAAATCTTTATATAAACCTAGCTTTATACATAATTAAATAAAATTAGTTAAAAATAATAAAATCCTTAGTCTCTTAATTAAAGCTCCTTAAATATTATATAAAAAAGTATAGTAATTTATTAATAGTATTATTAAGGCTTCTATGTATTATAATAGTAATAATTACACCTTGGTAAAGGCCTGTAGTGGGTAACCTTGCGCTTGGTAGAACTGCTTAGGCGGCGCATTGAAAGGTTGAGATTGATGATTAACGATGGTTACAGGAGGTCCTCCAGGGATAGGGCATGCACCAGCCATGTCAATGTGCTTGTTGCCATTGTCCTTGCTCCACGCCGATGGTGACATGATGAGGCTGCTTGAGTCCGTATGGAAAACCGACGTCAAGAGTCGCCCAATAGATACTTGCTTAAGTCTATGCCTAAGGAGGTCCAGGCTTGATTTGCCTACCACAGCCATTGCCGTAACACCAATAGTAATGAGGCCTATGACCAAGATAAGGATGAATGCGGGTATGCCGAAAACCCAGTGGTACTTGATCTTGCGAACAGACGGTATCACTTCCACTCGAGCTGCTTGATCAGGGTCCTCGTTCCGGGCCCCGAGTACACCCTTGGACCCAACCAAGGCGGAAGCCGCAAGGTCATTCCAGAGCAACTTAAAGACCATAGGCATCGAGTCTTCAGAGGAAGAGAGCCTTTTCCACTTCAGCCACAAACTCATGCTTCGCTGGGCAGTGAAGTCAATGACCGGCTCTGAGCTATCGCGGCTATTGACAATAGTCGCGAGTGCAGAGATAGGTACAATTGACCCAGGGATGTTCATCTCAGAGAACCCAGGGTTGAAGCCCGACGTTCCAAACAAATTCTCTTGGGATGATCCAAGCATATATAGCGATGGCGCTTGGAGAGTGCTAATGTTGCGAAGGTCTTTGAACGCAGGATCCACTATACCCCAAATTGGTTGAAACTGAGCGAGGCCCAGGGACGAGTCCTCAACACCCCAAAGCGGCATGTCATCCACGTTCTTGTACTCCTTCTCCTTCACCTCCTTGATAGTCAATCGTTCGACACTGTCGCTAGTACCGTTGTGGAAGAATGTGACTGCCTTGATAGTTGCCTTGACAGCTGAAGCGCATGTATACAGGGGCGAAGACCATTTGCTGCCATCTTCGAACAGGTTTGGAGGGCCATCATCAACCCTGTTGGGGACACCGCGGACTAGACTGCAGGATACATATGTATTGTTGAGCTTAGGAGGAGCATTAAGTGTGGTGGCTTGGCAAATAAATTCTTGAAATTTACGTCAGTAACGCAAGAAAATGACTCCGTATGCTAGAAGAAACTTACTTGCAGCGTCATAGTCTGCAGCCGTGATCTTATAGGGATTATCATAAATTTGTTCCGTTTTTGAAAAGTTACTCGACGACTTATCCACACCCATCATGTTACCAAACTCGTTGAAGAACTCTAACGACTGGTAGTTTGTATGGTAGATCTCGGTGATAGGCAACTTCCACTTTTTACCTATCTTGGAGTCAATTCTTTCGAATGCCTTTACCCCTTTGATCTTATCAGTAGGGTCCGAGATATTCATAAAGAGCATATTGATGCCATTGGTGTACCAGGCCGCTTGATATGCTCGTGTTTTCAGATCTGGTTTATTGCCGTTGTTCTCTGCATCATGCTCGGGGTTGGTCTTGTTGATATGGACCAAGCCACCGTGGTCGGTCATGAAAAGCTTGGTGACGGCGATACCAGAGCTCGACTTGGAGCTGGTGCTGATCTCAAAGTCTATAGAGACATTGAGATTCACGCACTCTGTCTCAGGCTCAAGGAAAAGCAGGTCTTCGGTCCAGGTAGCGCCCTGCGTATGGCCGACGGGTAATGTATGGTTCCTTAGGCCAACACCACCATTTTCGCTATCGACGATGAGACCTTCAACTGGTCGAATGTCTTCTCTCAATGCGAACGACTCCAGGGGACGGAAGACACCAACTGCAATAGGTGTGCCGTTGTTGTAGTTTTTGTTATACTGTGCGGTTATCTGGCGCCATTCGATGTCGAAGTAATTGGAGATGGTGGTTCGACGCTTCTTGGTTCCGCTCATATAGATGTCGTGGAGGATATTTGGCACAGTTGTATTTGTGCCGTAGAGTATTGAACAGTTAGACTGGAGACCGTCGGATGAAATAATGGTGACATCAGAAGTGTACGGACAGGGAGCAAGGCACATTGGTGAATAATTGCAAGTCCGTGTGAAGGTCTTGTTATCGCGCGGTGAGGTGCCTTGCAGGAAGGTACTCGTGTCTTTCACGTACTGAAAGGTTGCTGAGATAGATTCGCTGGCATTTTCATCTTGTTCATACAATCCCAGAGGAGTGATCACACCAGCAAGGGAGATGAGCAAAGCCAGCAACGGTACCATCGAGGTCATCAAAGAAATAGACGTGCGGACACCCTTTTGTTGGGTCGAGTCGGCTCGGAGAAGGGTAGGCCAAAGGGAGCTTTGAAGAACCCGCCCTGCAGTCGTCCTGTACTTTGTCAGACTACTTCAAAGTAGGGAGGGGTTGCACGAATTTACCATGTCCCCGCTGTCTCACGATCGCGCAGCTGGCCGGCAATAATTAGGGTAATCGCTGTTGGACAAAACAGTTGAGCTACCACCCGAGTTAGCAAGCCTCTGATGTTCTTTTCCTTGCGCAAAAGTCTTCTCAGATTACGAAGCAAAACTTACCAATCACGATGCCAAAGGCAATTATACCAGCAACGTAGCCCACGGTCAGCTCAGTCATTGTGTTTCTGGACCCGGCTGTAACGCCTTAGTGATCAGTACTGTTCAATCTGTTTTCACTATGAAGTCTTGAGTTCTGAGCGACAAGAGAGAGCTGTCTATTTTAGTAATTATTATGACGTCTCCTTTTTGGCAGCATCCTGGTACTGGCTTAATTTAGGAACCTGTGCGAGATTGACTGTAGCTGTTAGCCTTACATGGTTCATTGAAAAACAAAACTAGTAAGGCATTTTAACCATATTTCTCGGTTGGCAGACATTACTGACTGACCATTAGTCTTCGAGAATTTGACCTTTCTCCAGTTTTCATGAAGATCAGCTATAGCCACTAGTGATACAAGTGCCAACAAGATGTGTGGGACTCCTGAAAAAGTGCCGCCGGGAGAAGATTGGGAGCGAAGTATTTGCGGGTATCATAGTAAGACGGGTTGAAATTTATCCCGTAATGACCCATATTTGCCCTGGCGCGGCACAGATAACCCATCAGAATCAGAGTATTATGCAGCTAAATGCAGGAAATAAAGCCGGGCGTTTGGGATCAACGCCACCAATTTAAAGCTTGCAGACTATTCCAGGGGCCTTCCCAATGTGTCATAAATCGTGGGTTTAGTCTGCCAGGGCTGAATTTCTTGTCGCCAAGGATCGATCTTAATTTAACGAACTTTGAAGTTTTTTTCTAGATCAGGCATGTGTACACAGTTTTCAAACTCTCACATTTACAGAATCGCAACTTAGAGATCATAATGGGGCTAAGCGCGCTTCGTAGAGTGCTAATTAGCCTCTTCGTCGCCCATTTGTCTGTCGCCTTGATCAGTGAAGAGGGCCGCGAATACTGCACAGGAAAAGGCTCTATTTGCGAAGCATACAACAACGTCGATCGAAAATGCAGAGATGAGACCGGCCCCAAGTATTATGACTGCACCTGCAAGTCAGGATGGGTTCCTTTGCAGAAAGCGTAAGAACAGCCGGAGCCTAAAGTTTACACCAAAGTCATTGTTAACACCCGAGTTGTAGTTGTTACAATTGCAGAAGCGTCATGGGCGAATTCATGTTCGACACAGACGAGAGGAACCGAGCGAGCTGCAAAGATGATGGATATAAGGTTGCGCCAATCCCTTCCAGCATTATCTCTCAGCAAAAGGAATACAACAGAACTGCCAAGGTCCCGATAATGTCAGCGACGGATTCATCGACAGATTCTGCAACCGAGATCAACTCAGCTTATGCAACTCTCAGTCATGAGCCATATACAATGACATTATACGGGCAGAGTGCATCAGTCACTTTACCAGATATTCCCGTTCGAACCGAACAAAATGAAGATAAAGAGAATGCAGCAGGAGGCCGTGGCAATGGTGGTTTGATAACCTCTGTTTGTGTGATTGTGTTGGCGATGTTGATTACTTAACGTTGGATATCTATTCTGCCTTACATTTATATATATTATCTTTTCCAGTTACTTTATTACTAGATGCTTTCTGTAATTGGTTTTTTCAGTATAATCCATCAAAGCTTCAGTCCCTATAATTTGAATAATATCATTGTGTCTCGGTGAATGTAGGGAGGAAACGAACACAAGTCAACCCAGCGCCATTTCAGTCAGTCGTTTTATTGGTTGAGGCGAGCTACCCTGGAGGCTAGGCTTAGATTTGAGGACTATTGAATTAAAAATTCTATAATTAAAACCTGCGACGCTGATGATAGTCATGGGGTATAAGCAGCCTTCGACAGGAAGCTCTTGGAATGATAATATGCTGAATTAGAAATGAACCGCCTATATGTGCGGCACGGAGAGCCAGAAACCCAGCGAATATTATTAATAGTTCCGTGGCATACGTAACTTACAGCTGCAGCTGAGAACGAGGTTAGTAATTTGCAAGGCAAACATACTAGTAATAACATAAAAGACTTATGCTAAGATGAATAATATAAGTTTAATAGACCTAGGTATTACTTACAGGTAATTTAAGTTAAATCAGCTAAGAAAATAAATTACAAGATTTATAGATTTATATTAGATTATTTTATTTTATATTAGATTATTAATTAATACTCAGGGTTAATTAGCACTAGTATAAGGTTAATTAATATTAATTTAAGATAATAATTATATAATATAAAATAACTTAGTAATGAAACGGTTTAAGTTGCCTCTGTATAATCGAACTGGCAGGCGGATATTGCGCAAAGGCTCGCGATGGATGGAAGAATAGTAATGATTCAAGAGAGGTAGCGAAACATTGCCCAGTGCTGGGGATAGATGTGGCATTGCAGCTAGAAGGTCGCGTTGATGCGAAGGCTTGAGGTGTATAAAATGAAATTCTCGCAGCACATTGATTGATTTTAGTATATCTATTGTCGCAAGCCGGGCATATTATTTATGTCGCACAGTAGTGTTGGGTAAAAATATGAAATCTATAAAACTTATTATTCATTATTGAGATAAGAGTTCTTCTCGGTGTTTATATTTCTTATTAATTTTATCTAACGTTTGGACTTTGAACTTTAAATCTAGGACTTTCAGACTAACAGTCTGAATCCTGAATATAAGGAGGATTCCTAGTTCTCCAACAAATCACCCAGCTTGATTACTAAAGGCTGTTGTTCCTCAGGCACGTTGAGACCATGCCCGGCCTGCGACAAGATGGAAGAAGAGTCGATGCCCAGCCCCCGCAATGCTTTGAATCGCCAGTATTCTCATAGTTCACCGGGACCATCGAAAGTGGACAAGGGAGAATGGCTGCGGGACTGTCCCGTAAAATGCCCCGTCTCTAAATACTTCCCAGACTCGCTAAATCGAGATCTGCAAGATTCTAACCGGCAGTGGTCTTTGCCCCGCATTATCATCGTTCCTGTTCCCACATTCTCCAGTCCCACAATCCCGCAAATTTGAGGCCTGTAAGATTAAGAATAAATTGATGTAGTCAGGCGTGATTCAGTTAGTGCATATAATTGTCTGCTTCTCAATCATGGCCTGGCTCCTCTGCTGTGCATCCCTGTAAAACTACTCCCTTGACTTACCGAGACATCGAGTAGCGAATATCTACAACAAAGTCCAAAATGGCTACTAAGTATGACTGGATTGTTCTCATACCAGACCATAAAGGAGCTTTGGCGAAACGCATAGCTGCTCGCCCGTTAGTTCCCCTTTTCGCATGTCCCCTTAGTTGCGGGCGCACAATAGTTAACTGATCTTATAGGGACCATCTCAAGGGTATCGCCTCACGAATTGAGTCAGGTGCCTGGATCATGGGCGGTACTTAGAACAGTCCTAAGCCTGAGAATAATTCCTTCATTGTCTAACTTGATTATCACCCAGGTCCAAGTCTTGAATATCCACCTATTGATGGACAAGAAAAAGCAATCAATGGCAGCTGCATTGTTGCAAATGCCCCAAGTAGGGAGGAAGTGATGGAAGAAATCAAAAAGGACATCTACGCGACCTCCGGGGTCTGGAACCTTGAAAAGATCGCAATCCTTCCAGTAAGAGCTCAACACATTTCATAGCAGTCACTCAGGCCACTAACGAAGTCTACCTCCCATAGATCATGACTGCGTTTCGAAAGGGACTTCCAGGTTCTACTTATTAATGGTCTTTCAAGACCAATTAAGGAAATGGCTTACTTTATTAAGTGACTCTGAAATCTTTCAATAGCAATTACAGCACCGTGAACAATTACCTTCGATGTGAACGAATCTGCAGGTGGTAATTCAGCTAAAAACGTCCTTGACTTAAGATTTGGATTATATCAATTCAACAAGTGAGTATTTGTAGTAATATGAAGTTGCAGGCGAGAGCAGGCTGCAGCCTCAGAAGACCAAGTTGAGCACCGCGGGTTTTAGAGTTTTTAGAATATACCGGCTAGCGGTTAGCCAGACAAGCGTGGGACTAACTTTTCCCAGGAGACTTTGTTGGCTAGCAACAAGGTAATTACGATTTAGCTCCTAATTGATTTAGTGATTGCTAACTGTGGAGTCTGCGAGGTCCTCTATTGGCACTTCTAGAATCGAGGCAAACCTGCGGGACAGCTCCCAATGCCCTTGGCGATAGAGAAGGTCAGTGATATTATACAATGTGGTCGAATCGAATTGGCGAAAGTTGGTTGTGGATGGCTCCGCCGAGTTCCGAGCCGACATAAGCCCAAGGTCGCTCGATCGCAGTTCAGGAATATCAATATCGCTGTGGGAAGCTTCGGCTGGCCGGAACTTAGCATGACAGTACGCAACCAGTCCTGCATAGAACAACGCCCTTGGGACATGGATAGCTGGTTCCGTACTGATAGGCAGGGCTTGTAGGCGCTTGTAGATGAGCATTGCGTGAATGACACAACTCTGTCCCTCCGGCTCAACCACCCAACCGCGGATACGTGCGAGGTCTCCATCCCTTATCGATGGTCCCTCGCGACCTATCACACGCTCAAGCAGGTCGAAGGATACGTATAGCGACATGAATGCCTCGTGCCAGAGCACCAGGAGGCAGTGGGGGTCGCGACTCGGATGGCGGATGCTTGGAAGATATGCTTCGTACCAGGTTGTTAAACGGCGTCTAAAGTCTCCAATCATTGACTCATTAAATGTTGCACACCGCGCTTCACGTATCGCCGCGCTATGGCCGGCAAGCAGGACGTAAGCGTTCATGGAAGCGTGGGTGTTCGACGATACAGTCGTGCCTACAGAAGCGTGATCTTGTGGCTCGCTTGAAGACGGAGAAGAGTGTAGAGACTTAATCATCAGATGCCATTGAGCAGCTGTAGAGGCAACGAACAGCTGATCTGAGCAACAACGCGGTAATCTTCCCGTTTCATGGCGTAAGAATGGTTCGTGGTGAAAAATAGCTGCGAACTCCGAGTCATGAATGTGCAACGCCGCCAGCACTCGGACAGTTTCCTCTGTTTGGGACCATGATCTCCATGCAGCTTCCAGATCGTCTGGGTCCTGAAGGCCGGCCTCCTGTAGAGAATCTTTGACTTTAAACATCCCAGCTTGGCGGGCCCATGCGATGATAGTACCATGGAAGCTTTCAGTCAGAAGCAGATCGTTTGGATTGCCGGAGAGCATTCCAAATGTCTGGCCTAGAACAACGGCTTGCGCTACAGCCAACGCCTCGCGCCCACCTCGGTAGAGATAGACTTCCCACTTATACAGTCAGAATGGGTCGGGGATAAATAAGATGGAGACAAACCGATGCCAAAATTGCCTTGTTCAGCTTCATGAAGATAGCCCGACCACGAGCAGCAGCGACGCTAGATCCCACAAACAGAGCGCCTAATGAGCAGATAGATAAGAGTAGAAGAGCATTCTCTGACGAGGGTCGAAACGAGGGCGCGTGCACGATGGGGAAGATGGGCTGGAATTTAGCAAAGTACAGCTTGATGCATGTATTCTATCATATTGTCAGTTTTGATGATCATTGTAAGGCCCCGATACACGAGTCAGATCTCGCAAAACATACCAAAAAGTCAGCAGATGGTAGAACATCATCTTGAAGACAAGGCCGAAGTCGAAATGAAAGACCGGCTCGATATGCCTCGTCTACCTGATTTAGGTTCTCCGAATTCTTGAGTGCGTAAGGATACGCCGATTCGACGACTGGTCGCGTGTGCCATCTGTTTCGTACTCGAGCTCGGATATTGTTGTCGGTGATCGACCCGTGTGTGCCATGAGCCTCATCCGAAGCTTCCTTTGTCTGGGTTTGCGCGACGTTTGCTGGAGCTTCGCCATATCCCCATGGCGAACCCGTTGCCGAGATGGAGGACGTCAGAGCATTGATATCGAAACTTTCCCCTACCAGCCAAGATGGATCACAGGCATTGGCCCCAAAATCGAACAAGTCCAGATCTGTCCAGCTTCCCAAGGCATTGGACGCTTGATCGGTACCGAGAGAGCCGACGTCCGCTCGCGTCGAGGAGTCCATGGAGGGGGAGAGATATGCTGCAGGATGGATATCTGTCTCGGAAGTAGTCCATTGATTATGCTGGTTATTATTATTGGGCGTCGAGCCAACTAAGTCGGCAAAATGCGCTGATCCGCCTGGAGGATCATTCTCAAACAAAACATCATCATGGATACCGGACCGCCGGCTGAGGGATGGTTGGCCAGCTGCGGTATTTGCGTCTGTGGCTTTTATCAGAGAGCCGCTGCTTGCAGAGAGTAACGGTGCGAGTCCCTTTTGGACGTACCTGGAGGCGAGGGTATCGGTGGACCTGCCGTCAAAGCGAGGCTGTCTGCCTCGCGACGATGTGTTCGTGCGTGTCGAATTAACGAGTCTCTGCAGATATCGGGTGTGAGCGCCCAGTTGGGAAGCTATGAGTGAAGGAAGAACCTACCGGCGCCCATAGCTTTTTGGGCAAATATCGCAGACAAATGGCTTCTCCTTTGTATGGGATCGAATGTGTCGTACCATGTGCTCTCGTTTCTTGAAGGCCTGATCACATTGCGGACATTGCCATTGTCTGCGTTGTCGACTCCGTAGCCTGCGCTGGAGTTCGGCATCAGTGTCTCTTGTGCTCGGGTCGTCGGCTTCTGCACTTCCGCTATGGACCATGGTCGTGGAAATCCAGGGTAGTGGGGAATAGGAAGAGGTGGGAAATTGTGGCGGGGAATGCGTCTGGGAAATATATCCCCGCATCTGGGGGATTACTAAGGATTTACGGATGTAGGTAAAGTTCAGACTAACCGCCACACGTACACACTAACACAAGTCTCCGCCGCGACGTCCAATCAGAACATTGGGAACTGAGGAGCCAAGCGCATCGCCCGGCATGCTGTAAAGAATCTAGAGATTCACTTCGCAAGGTTAGAGTCTAACCACGATAGCTGTACAATCGAAAACCACACTTGGCCTCAATGCCACCGGGATAGTCGGCTCCCAGGTGAATAGACTACGGCAGATGAAAGCAAATTCAAACGAAGTACAAAACCTTCCCGATATAGATCAAATAGTGAAGAGAGATAGCTGATAAATCCTCTCTGCAAGCCGGGGGATGGCACGCGTCCTTTGCGTAAGAAGAGCGGCCCAGAGCCCGCACCATGGCAAATCCAATATATTGCATAATCTCACTTAGGTGATAATACTTTAAGTGGGTGTTAATGCTCCGATTGGACGCTCCTGAAAACTTGCCATTGACCAAGCTCATAGAGGCGCACCATATTGTTCACCTAGATTGGCAACTTTAGAGTTGTTACTTTGTATATGATACTTCGGCTGTCCTATGCGTTGTTTCCATGCTGACCCAAAGGAGGTAGTAATTGAGTCGTCGAATCATGCCATGACTATTCACGACTGTGAAGGATTGCATTTACCCTTTCAATCTCAGCCTATTCAGTTTCGCCAATGTTTATCTCACCAACCCAATAATATCGTCTGGTGCACAGATTACATACTAATAAAAAGAATATAGATTAAAATAAAGACACCTTTAAATTTAATATTATACAGCGATAGCTTTTCCTATAAATAACTTATATACTTATTTTAATAAAAGTAATATTAGCTATTAATATTATAAGAAGTATAACTAGTAGTATAAAGCTATTAGAGGTAGTTTAGTTATTTATTAAATAATTTATTATAAACCATAAGTAGTTATTATAAAGATATCCTTATAATATATTAAGATATTTTAATAAAAAAAAAAGATTTACTTACTTTTTAAGGAATTTTTATAAATACTAATAATAGTTATAATCTCCTTTAAGTTTAGCTTATAATAATTAATAATATAACATGGTTAATAAGTATATGCCGCAGATAAGTATATACTACACTTTTCCCTCTTATATTTAACTTTTTATTTAATTAATTAGTTTATAACTACTAAATATATTAAAACCTTTAAATAAAGCTAGAACCCTCCTTGCCTTTTAGGCCCTTTAAAATAACTTAAAATTAAGTATTTAATATATTACTAAGATATATAAGATTAATAAGTGCCGCCTATATTACTATTAGCAGGGTATTTAATTATAAAGTAATTTTATCCCTAAATTATAAAAACTATTTAATCTAAAGGAATAAATAATAATTTAATTTATCCTTAATTTAGATTTATAAGGATTTCCCTTATAATTATATTTTATAAAAGAAATAGCTAATTCTCTGCTTATAAATTATAATATATTACCTATTAGTAAGCGTTAAGCTTATAACTTTATAAAGTAATAATTAGAGCTAAAAATATATTTATTTAAAAAATATAATTATTAGAAAGCTAAATATAAAGATTTAATTATTATTTATAGCTAGTTTAAGCTTATATAAAATATAATTATAAAGTATAGTATTTAATTAGATAATATCTAAAACTTTAATAAGATTAACTTTATAATAGGCCTTATTATAGCTAGAATATATATTAGTAGTGGTTTTAAACAGGGAAACTAGTCTACACTAGGTTTATATTTATAGATAGTATAAGGTATTAAATACTAAGTAAATTAGGTATTATATCTCTTAATAATTAAGTAATATATATTAAGCTTATTAATATAAAGAAGTCTTATTAATAGCTAGTAAGCTAAATCTATAAAAGTGCTAATAAAGGTAATTTATATACTAGGAGTGATTTAAGAGGATTACTAAGGAAGTTAGATTATAGTAATCCTGGATTATAGTAGTTCCTAGAGTGTTATAATCCTATCTATAAGATAATCTAGCTCTAATTAGCCTATAGCTATTAAGGGGCTAATACCTTATATAAGTTTTTATAGGATATATATAATATAACTACTAAGGTTATAATATAATCTCTTCCCTCTGTTAAGTCTTATCCTTAAGACCTTAAAGTAGGCCTGGTTTATTTTTTATTTAATTAGTTTTAACTTATATCCCTAAATATTTTTCTATTAATATATACTACTAATAAGATATTTAGTTATATTTTAAAATCTATTAATTAAAAAACTAAAGAGTATAAATTTTTAGCTAAGAGTATTAAGCTATTATATAAACTTACTAATATGCTATATTCTTATTATTTTAAATACTAAAAGGAATATTTAATAATAGTAGATTTATTTTATTATAGTAAATATATTTATTAAGGGTAATCCTATAATAATACTTAAGTGGCATCTTCTTATATATTATTTTTTCTTATTTATTTTTAATTACTAATAGTCTTTAATTAAGAAATTAATTTCTTAAGAAAAGAAATTAAATAAGAATAAAAAAGAGGCAGGTAAGGATCTTTTAAAACTTTATAAGAAGTTAGCTATATTATAAGTATATAATATAGTTAATAAGTAAGTAGGTTATCTAAGTAAGTAGGTTAAAAATTGTTATGACCCCCGCGGTTACGTCACGTATACCCCACTTTTTTCAACCTATTAGTAAGAAATCTAAGAATAATTATACTCTTGACTATAATTATCTATAGAGGATTATAAAGTAAACCGTGATCCCTTTATTTTAATTATAACCCTAACCGTAATTACTAATAGATTATTCTAGTATATAGAATATATTTATTTGCACTTTTATAGATTTAAGCTTACTAGCTATTAATAAAACTTCTTTATATTAATTAAGCCTAATATGTATTAAATCTACTATTAAGAGATATAATACTCTAATAAGCTTAGTATTACGCCTTATGCAATCTGCTAATAATAAACCTAGCACGGCTTAGTTTAATATAGTTAGACCCTAACCGTTATATGTTAATAGCTCTTATTTAGACTATACTGCGTAATGCTAAGTAATATAAATATAATAGCTGCTTATATTAACCCTGTATAATAATATGCTATACCTTATGCTGCTCTAGCACCTGTTAATAATAATTAAGATATAGATAATAATTCTAAGAGTAGTACTAATTCTAATATTACCTAGCTCTATTAATAAATAACTAATATAATAACCAAAATAGATAACCTTAGATAAGCCTTAGCTAAAGCTACTGCACTTTAGGTATAGCAGGCCGCTAACTACTAAAATGCAATTTAGGAAATATATTAATTCGCTGCTACTATAGTAAATAAAAAAGAATCAGGGGAAATTCTTAAACCTAATGCACCTAAACCATTTAATAGAAACCCTGCTAAACTAGCTATCTTCCTTACTTAATGCCAAGCCTATATAAGTTACTTTCTGAACTAGTTTGCCAATAATAATAATAGGGTTATATATATATTAGGATATCTTAAAGGTAATGCTGCTTAATAGTTTTAACCTATATTAAAAGTAATTACTATTATACTAGAAGATAAACTACTACTTAGAACTTTTTAAATTTATAATAATTATATTAAATTTAAGAAAGCTATATAATAAGTATTTAGGTTAATTAATAAAAAAAGCCAAGTAGAAAGAAAGATTAAAGTACTTTAATAAACTAAATCTGCATTAGAGTATAGAACTAAATTTCTCTAATTAGCTACTAAGCTAGGATAGGACTAGGAACCCCTTATATTACTCTTTTTTAATAGACTTAAAGAAATAGTTTAAGCAGAACTCTATAAGGAAGCTAGACTAAGGATACTAGTTAACTATATTGGCAGAGCTGTTGAGGTTAATGATATGTAATTCTAATGGAGAATCTGCTATAACTGAAATAACTAAGGATGCCAGGGAAATAAGCTATGCTATAATATTAACCAGGGAAAGAAATAAAATAATAATACTTCTTATAGTATTAACTTTAGACTAATAACTATTAAAATAACTAAGAAAGATAAATCTAAAATTACTTACTAGAACTGCAGTAAGAAAGGATATTATAATTTAGAATATAAGAACCCTATTAAGATTAACCAGAAGTATAGACTAGTCTTAGAAAATAAGAAGATTAGTATAGTTAAGAAATATAAAGAACCCTAAATAGTAATTAGAACTATTAATATAACCTGCAAAGATAGTTATAATATAATTAAACTAATAAAATATATTAGGAACTTTAACCTATCTCTTAATATTTAAGATCTATTCCTTAATAAGGAAGAAACCCTTAAGAGATACTACCTATATCTAGAACTAGAATAACGACCTATCTTAGGATACCTAGCTCTTATAGCAACGACCTATATATAAAGTAAAAGCGAAAAATAAGCTAAGAAAAAAGCATATAATATAAAAAGATAAGAAGATCCTGAATTTAGAAGAAAAGAAAGTAAATAATAAAAATAATAAAGACTAAAGGTAAAATAAGATACAGAAGTTAAACTCGAATAGGTGCCAGTACCTAAACTAGAAATATAATACCCCGTTAAAGGAAAATCCATTTTTATAGTTAAAAAGGGAAAAGAAATTAACCTTAACCTAGATAATAAACTAAGTACTATAAGAAATAACTAAAAATCCTACTTAGTAATAAATAAAATCCCTGTTAAAGTTACCCTAAAATAACTAAACTAATATACTAATAATCTAAACTATCTAGAATCTTATTGAGTCTAGAGAGAATTTAATGCCAGATGTATTAGATATAAGGAAAATAAAATAGTCTAGAATATAGAAATTATACCCTAATACGATAAATATAAAGTCTATTTCTAGAATAATAAATATTAGAAATATATAGAACTTGTAAGAGAATATGTAATTATAAAATAAGATAATAATATCTA